AACGTTGCTGGCAACCTACAAGGCAATTGGCTGGCCGGTTCTAAATTACGCAGAAATAGTGTGGTCGCCAGGGACCAGTAGGAGCAGTGGAAGAAGCTGCAGAAAACACAAAACACATCACTTCGGACAGCGACAGCGACCGGATGTCTTCTGGTGGCGCCAGAACATCATCTACATGACGAGGCGCTAATGCTCCCTATAAGGGAGCATAACAGAATGCTCTGCAAGCAATTCTTAGTAGTGAGACAAAGACGTGGACACCGGAACAGACACTTGCTTGCATAGGAGCCCTCGCCAAGGTATGTCAGAAGGCATCTATACGAACTGACGGACGAAGTCCAGAGGTTGCTTTGTGAACCTCTGGACTTCGTCAGTATATCGACAGGCCCTGAGCGGCATTCACAGGGAGTCAGTCTCAAGTTACGTAAACTCCAGACCTGTGAATGCCGTTATGGGCACACAACCACCTGACGTGGACGAGACGAAGCTTCGTCTGCCTCGGCAGACTCGGACCACAATAGCCCAACTTCGCTATGGCTACTGCAGCAGGTTGAACTCATACCTGAGCAGACTAGATGCAGATGTGCCAAATGAGTGTCCGGCATGCGGGGAGACACAGACGTTTCAAGAAACGAAGTTGCACAGCAACTCAACTCTGGTGGTTGCCCCGTTTACAATGTGCTCCGTAAAGATCGTTCATCCTATACCACACAGTGCAGTATCGGCTTATCGAAGAAGACATCGACCCGAGGGACTCCACCCTAGAAAGTCAGGGCATAGCTGTCCGGTCAGGCGATGTCGAGCTCGAAATATTTAACGTGTATATACCCCCTGTCAACTGCTGCCCGGCAGGATGTCACCCTGATATAGGTGCGCTACTCAGAGGTGATAACCGAATGGTAATAGGTGACTTCAACGCGCATCACGATCTCTGGCACTCAAGCCTGGCTAATGATCGTAGGGGAAATCTTTTGCCTGAGCAGTAAGGCGATTCGACATTCTGAACTATGAACGGCGACGCCCCACCAGGATTGTGGGTAGGTGCAGCTGCTCGCCAGACCTTACAAGTGCTAGCGCTGGTCTGATCAATAGCATCATGGCGACCTATGCTAACACTAGCATCAGACCATCTACCCATAATCATCTCGATCAAAAAGCCCACCGACCTTGCGCGCGGGGACCACCGAACTTTAACAAAGCTGATTGGGACAGCTTCGCGGAAGTTACCGAGAGCAGCTTCGCCGCCCTTCCGACACCCACAAACGTACATGCTGGCGAACGCCAGTTCCGCAGGGTAGTCACTGCCGCAGCGGCTCGCTTCATACCGTCCGGATGTATCGCGGAAGTCCGTCCAAATTTCCCGACCGAAGCAGCTGTACTTGCAAATGAGCGNAAACGAAGTTGCACAGCAACTCAACTCTGGTGGTTGCCCCGTTTACAATGTGCTCCGTAAAGATCGTTCATCCTATACCACACAGTGCAGTATCGGCTTATCGAAGAAGACATCGACCCGAGGGACTCCACCCTAGAAAGTCAGGGCATAGCTGTCCGGTCAGGCGATGTCGAGCTCGAAATATTTAACGTGTATATACCCCCTGTCAACTGCTGCCCGGCAGGATGTCACCCTGATATAGGTGCGCTACTCAGAGGTGATAACCGAATGGTAATAGGTGACTTCAACGCGCATCACGATCTCTGGCACTCAAGCCTGGCTAATGATCGTAGGGGAAATCTTTTGCCTGAGCAGTAAGGCGATTCGACATTCTGAACTATGAACGGCGACGCCCCACCAGGATTGTGGGTAGGTGCAGCTGCTCGCCAGACCTTACAAGTGCTAGCGCTGGTCTGATCAATAGCATCATGGCGACCTATGCTAACACTAGCATCAGACCATCTACCCATAATCATCTCGATCAAAAAGCCCACCGACCTTGCGCGCGGGGACCACCGAACTTTAACAAAGCTGATTGGGACAGCTTCGCGGAAGTTACCGAGAGCAGCTTCGCCGCCCTTCCGACACCCACAAACGTACATGCTGGCGAACGCCAGTTCCGCAGGGTAGTCACTGCCGCAGCGGCTCGCTTCATACCGTCCGGATGTATCGCGGAAGTCCGTCCAAATTTCCCGACCGAAGCAGCTGTACTTGCAAATGAGCGTGACCACCTACGCCAGGTCGATCCCGGGGACCCTCGCCTGAGGGACCTTAATTTGGAGATTCGGGAACTGGTAAATTAGCACAACCGGAAAAAGTGAGAGGAACACTTGATGGCCTGTAACTTCACATCTGGTGTGAGTAAGCTCTGGTCAACCGTGAGGTCCTTGTCCAACCCAACGAAGCGTGATGACAGAGTGGAAATTTCATTCGAACGTCGCGCTTCGTCGGACCCGAAGAAATGCGCGAACTACTTTTGTAGGCAGTTTACACTGCCTCCTTGGTAGACAAGGCCAAACGTCAAGTGACCAACTGCCAAAAAACAGTGCATCACTTGTTTTCACCAGCGGTGAAGTGACGCGGGCTATCGGGAAGGCGAAAGCCTCCGAAGCCATTGCACCCGCCTTAATCTGTATGCTGATGCTGAGACATTTAGGGCCTGCGGGAGTAGCTTATCTAATGGAGGTCCTCAACCTGTCAATGGCCACTCTCATCATTCCTGATGTGTGGAAATCAGGGAGAGTGGTCCCACTGCTAAAACCAGGGAAGCCCGCCAACAAGGGAGACTCTTATCGCCCGATAAAGCTCCTTTCTCCGGTCGAGAAGACACTAGAGGCCCTGCTACTCTCATAATTCACCTGCCACCTGACCCAAGCGAAGCATCAGCACGGATTCCGTAAAGTGCACAGCACTTAACGCCATAAACACCCAAATAACTCGTGTCCTAAATCGAAACCGCCCCTGTGAGACTACGGACCTAGTAGCGCTGGACTTGTCAAAGGCGTTTGACACCGTCTGCCATTCCACGCTGCTAGAAGACATTGAGGCCTCCTCACTCCCACAGGGACTGAAGCGATGGTTGGCGAATTATATGACTGGTCGACAGTCGTCAGAAATCTTTCCACAAGGTGGAGTTCTGTTCCCCTTATTATTTAACTTCTACATCTCGAAGCTTCCCCAGCCACCTGAGGGAGTTTCCCTGATCTCGTGCGTCGACGATTGCTCCGGGAATGGAATTGATGACCCCTCCTCAAAAGTAAACGACTATCTCTCCAGCCTTTCTCGCTTCTTCACTGCAAGGAGCCTAACACTCTCCCCAACGAACTCAACGGCGACCCTCTTCACCACCCGGGCGAAGGAGATCAGGCTAGAATTAGGCATACACGTCGATGGCACACCAATACCGACAGTAAACAACCCGAAAATTTTAGGGGTCACCTTTGATAGCCTGCTCTCCTACTCCACACACAAAACCGCAGTTGTCAATAAAGTACAGAGCCGCAACAAGGTCCTCAAGTCACTCGCCGGCAGCACTTGGGGCAAAGACAAAGAAACATTGCTGGCAACATACAAGGCAATTGGCAGGCCGGTTCTAAACTATGCTGCACCAGTTTGGACGCCGGGGACTAGTTGGACGCTGTGGACGAAGCTACAGACATGTCAGAACGCCGCACTCCGGACAGCGACTGGGTGCCTTCTGATGACGCCTGAGCACCACCTACACAGCGAGGCCCAAGTGCTCCCCGTAAGGGAACATAACAAGTTGCTTTGTAAGCAGTTTCTGGTGGGGTGCCACAGAAGTGAACACCCAAACAGACCTGTGCTACAGGAGGAGCCTCCACCCAGGCACGTCAGGGGGCACCTATGNGTGGGGTGCCACAGAAGTGAACACCCAAACAGACCTGTGCTACAGGAGGAGCCTCCACCAAGGCACGTCAGGGGGCACCTATGCGTGTACAAGGACGCAGTCCAGCAATACGTAGACCAACCACTGGACCCGACGACGTACAGACGAGAAATCAACGACATCGCTAGAGAGTCAGTCACCACCTACCTTGACTCCCGGCCTATGAATGCCGTGATCGGATCCCAATCACCACCCGTAGAAGAGACGGAAGAGAAGAGTCAAGTTATGTAGATTCCCGCCCTGTGAATGCCGTTCTAGGCACACAACCACCGGACGTGGACGGAACAGAACTTTGTCTGCCTCGGGCGACCCGCACTACAATAGCCCAACTTCGCTCTGGCTATTGCAGCAGATTCAACTCCTACTTGAGCAGAATCAACGAGGATGTGCCCAACCAATGCCCGGCATGTGGAGAGTCGCCATATAACTCCCGGCACCTCTTCACATGCTAACGCCCCTGTCCCTATGGACAGCCCCTGTGAATTTGGCACACTTCCTGGGCCTTCCCCTAGCTGAAATTGACGACAACGTTGATGGATGAACCGCCCCGAACGGGGCTTGGTAGCCGCTACAACAACAACAACAACAACGGGGCTTCAATTGCCAAGAGAGACCCGCGTTACCCTGGCCCAATTACGGTCTGGATACTGTAGCTACCTGTCCAGACTCGACCCCAACATCCCCAATGAGTGTCCGGCATGAGGAGAATCTCCTCATGACACCAACCACCTCTTCACATGCCAGCTCAATCCGACTCAACTGACACCCCTCTCCCTCTGGTCCGACCCTATTGAAACAGCTCGTTTCCTGGGCCTTCCGTTAGTTGAGCTTTACAACAATGATTGAATGTAGACCCGAAATAGGCGGGGCTTAGTAGTGCCGCTACAACAACAACAACAACGACTGAGATACTAGCCGATCTAGGCGGGGTTGTTTTAGCCGCTACAAAAACAACAGCAACAAGCAGTAATACCACAAGCGCTCTAGAAATACCACTTTCGGTTAGTTTATTCTTTGAAATAGTTTGAATGATAAAATATTATCTATGGGCGTCAAAAAAAAGAGAAAGATATTTTTGTTGGTTAAATAGAAACTGTGGGTAAGTCTCGATATAATAAAGTGAAAAGTTGTATGTGAAATATATATAAAAATAATACATACCTTTTTTCAATGTCCTCCAAATCAAGATTGACCTTTTTTATTCTCTTTTCCGTAGATATAAGATCGTTTTTACAATTCAAAAGTTTACGTTTTCGATCTTCGACAGATATTTCTTGAAGCGCTGTAATCAATTCATCTCGCCTTCGAAAAAGATTGTTGGTTAAGAGATTATCAAGTTTATTTTTTACAACTTCTAATTGCATTCTTTGAGTGAATGCTTCTTTGTTCTCTTGATTCAACTTCCTTATGTCTTCATTAAGCTGATCTATTTCTCGTTGGTCCTGTACCGATAAACTGGATAACAATTCTTGATTTAGCTCTGCTTCCAATCCAGCCTTGGTGCTATTCATCGCTTCTAAACTTGCTTTGCATTGAGTAGCAGATCTTTCCCTCGTTGATCTATATTTCTCAATTCTTAATAATTCTTCTTTCATTAGACGAATTTCTCCTTGAAGTTTTTCAAAAATGTCTTTCGTCTTTCCTTGTTTTGTTTCAGTTTTCTGAATATCCGAAACAACTGAATTAATACTATTTTCGGTTTGTTTAATCTCGTTTCGTAGTTTGCCAAGCTCCTTTTCGAAATCACGATTTTGCTGAGTGTATTCAGTACGTTTCTTTTGTATTTCTAGTCGTGATCTAGACGTATTGAAATAGCCACCTGTTAAAGACCCTTTCGACGACACTTGATCGCCATCTAAAGTAACACAATCTAACCCAGTACTTTTAGCCAACTCTGTCGCCCTTTCCAAATTTCTACATATCAGAGTTTTCCCAAATATATACCTTAATGCTTTGTCATGCTGTTCATCATATTTGAGTTTTGAGAGCATTGGAATAGAATCTGGATCGTCAGGGTAATCATGTATCTTCACCTGTAAACGATTAAGGGGCATAAATGTAACTTCTCCTGGAAGTTTAAGTTTATTCATTTCTTTTAAAATTTGCGTGCCTACTTTGTCGGACTCAACAATATGATGGAATAATCTATTTCCAGCGGTAACTTCTACAGCTGTATATATTGTCTTATCGCAACTGAAGTTTTCAATAACTGGGCCGTAGTACGATTTGGCTATTTCCGCAAAAGGACTGCCACGCTCAAAAAAATTATCCAAAACTTTGCGAACGGAATCTCGACCATTTAATATAGGCTTCCCAGCCATACTTCTAAGCGCCTGGTCTGTTTTCGAAAGTTCCTCCTTGTGCGTTTGCAGTTGCTGTGTCATTTGTGTTTCCTTGCGCCACAATTCATTTCTCATTGCTTGATATTGGTCTTTTGTCTTCTTCAATTCGTAGTACTTTTTATTGTGCTCGTCAATTTGAAGCCTTAACTGCTCTAGCTCGTTCGAGTGCTCTTCAATTTTGCGATTAAGATCAGCTTCAGCGTTACTATCCTTTTTCAAATCTTCGACTAATTTTGTGTTATGGTTTATTTTGTCTCGTATTTGTTTACTTAGAGACTTTAATTCATTTAGTATCCATTTGTCTCTTTCCTCACGTGACGAAAATTGCGATCCTCGCCCCTGCTTCGCGTACAACTCATTCCTTTTTTGTTCTTTCAAGGCGAGCTCTCGTGAACATTCTTCTTCTTTGCGCTTCATAGCTTCGTATTTTGGTTTAACTTCGTCCAACTCCCTTTCCTTTTCAGCAATGGTTATTTTTAATTTTTTTAACTCAAGGTCTGCCCTTTCCTTTGATTTGTTGTCACCTTGAACTTCATCATTAAGATCAACTATTATGAGGTCAAGCTTTGTTTTTTCACGCAAAAGTTGTTGTTGCTCTGTCAACAGTACGGACCGCTCCTCCTTCGTTGAAACAACATCTTTTTTAGCGTCCTTTAGTCGTTTTTGCACGTCTTTTATGTTTTCTTGAGCCTTCTGGATTTCTAAATTGTAGACCTTTTTCTTATCAACAGACGATTTTTTCTGTTCATTCAAATCATCTAGTGCTTTTTTGGTCTCCTTTAATTCAGTTTCGTGTATTATGTACTCTAGCATTCGCCTTGCTTTATCCCATTTTTGATATTCTTTAAGCTCTTCCTTTTCTTCTTCTAAAGTTTTCAAACGATCTTCTATAGTTCTCAAATACTCCGATATCTTTTCGAGTTTTCCTTCGGTTTCACGTAAAATATTGAGTGATTCCTCTTTCCTCTCATCATAAACGCGAGTTCCAGCCACTTCGCGTAATAATTTTAATCTGTAAGAATCTGCAGCTGTAGCCATTTGATTGATTTTTCCTTGCTTCACAATATAGTACGGATTAGAGTTTGAAAATCCAGCCGATTCGAGCAAGTTAACAACTTCAGTTCTTGGAACTACTTTTTTGTTTAAAAAGTATTGATCTTTTTTGGACCCAATAACTCTTCGTAGATATATTTCTTCCTTGTCTATCTATAATAAAAATATAGGGTAAATAATATGTACATATACATACATATGTACGAGTATATGAATGTATGTGTGTACATTTATAATTTTAACCGACTTCAAAAAAAGGAGGTTATCAATTCGTCGGAATACTTTTTTTGTGTATGTTACCGGATATCTTTGAACCACGTTAATCAATATATAGTCTTTTTCAAAAGGATAGGTGGTACCTCCGAGGTGGTCCCATGTTAATTTGGTTTAGATCCGATCAGATTTGAAGTCGGTTTTGTTTTTTGCTTAAAAATTACTTGTTTAACTAAAAATGTATATTACAAATTTTAATTATACGCACATACATACATAGATACCACTTAAATTGGCCTATATTTAGTGTAAATACTGAGTTAAACCACCGCAAGCGAAACAATTGTTGTCACGAAGTTTTGAAAAAAGTATATCATTGTGAAGTGCTTATCGTTACCTTAATATAGAAAGGCCCTAACTCATATAGTCGCTGAAATACAAAAAGCCATTACTAAGTAAAAATCCAAAATTCCTGTTTTGATTGATTATGATGCATTTCATCGAATTATAAGTCCCCGCATCATTTTAGGCAATAAAAACTTTTAGTCAGATACGGCTTTTTTGCCTTTCAGCGACTATGTATGAGTTAGGGCCTTTCCATATTAAGGTAACGTTACGATGCTTTTGCTGGCAAATTATATTTTAGAGCATGACAAATTTGAAAACTGAATTTTCTCTAAAATATGATAGATAGGGGGATAAAATTTCTCACATTTACTTTTTCTTATACCAAAACAACAACGTCAATTAGTTATAAATAATTGTTTTTTCAATAATTTCCTTTAACAAAACAGCAAAAATAGCACTCGTATGACAAAATGTTTTAAGTAAATTTACCATTAAAGATGTCAAACTTTACGATGGCAATAGTTTTGTTCGTCGAAAATCCAGCAGGAATTATCCAACACTCAAAATCATCGCAGTTTTTCCTAAATAAAAACAGTATCAGCTGATTGCCAAAAAATGGCTACAGCTGAGATCACGTGTTTTTTGACACAATTACTTTCATTTCTATTACAATTTCTCCATTTCTATTACAATTTATTCAAAATGTTAGGGTATTTTCACTGAACCAAAAACACCAATACATTAACCAAAAGCACGCCTAAGGCCTGACAGAAAAAACGGTGAGAAGAGTTACGTTACTTATGGAACTGTCCGATTCTCAAAATATTATAGAGTAAGAAAAAATTCTCTCAAATTCTCTCAAGTAGAAAAACAAATTTCCGCATATTTCTGCACGAAGGCAAATTTGCAGGAATTTGCAAGTTTCCCTGCCCGTGGACACCAGGGTTGAACTGCAAACATAATAAATATTTTTAGAATTTTTAAAATTCTTTCCGATGTACAAAAAACAGGATCGACATATATACATTTATATTTCTTGTTGTTCTTCCTTTCTTTAACATTCATTCATTTCAATTTCTTTATCGTACCAGCTGTCAGGTTTCCTAAATCGACTCTGGCTGCGATTGCATTCCGATTACGAATACAATTTTTTTTTCAGCCGAGTACATTTCAAATCTTTGGAATTAACTAAATTAAATATATCAACAAGTATTTACTTATACTTCGCCTAAAAATCGCGCATGTTTATAAATTTTTAAACTTAACGAACTTATTTATTCAAATTATCGTCGACAAAAATGCAACCATGTGCCACCAGCATATGCTTTCCGTGATGGCAAATCTCTCGAAGAGAACNACAATAAACAGCTTTGCATTTAGTTGCGAAAATGATGTCATGCAGAGGAGCAGAATTACCATCGCTGGCATTGCCAGAAGATCTTTGGGCGTAAGTATATTTCTTATTGTTACAAAACTAAAATAAAATTAATATTATAATTACTTTTTTAGCATTAAAGATGAAATATTAGGCCCGGAATTGTGTAAAGAAGAAAATTTAACATTAAAGGATTTTTAGGAGGCCGCATATGAAATAGTGGCATCCACACCATCAGCTGTTGAACAAAGCGAAAATTTTCAACTAAATAATAGCACATATGAAATAGTGCCAATCACACCATCAGCTGCTGAACAAAGCGGAAATGAATTGATTGTTACTAATATTTGTTGATTTTATTCATTAGCTTATTTCTCAGGTGTATTAGATTCTCTATTTTGCGTACGAGCAATAACTAATTTCATTTTGTCGTATGTCATACAGCTGGCTCGCGTTTAACGTGAAAATGTAACTTACGACAAAATGATTTTAGGAAAAGTGGCTGAAAAAGCTATATTAGTTACTGAAAATTTAAGAAAATGTGGATTTATACTTTAAATAGTATGTACATTGAAGCATTAAATTTTGGTCAAAAACGATTGTACAGCTTTTGAGAAATTGTTACTGAATATTTAACATCGATTTCCCAAAACCTGCCGAAAGTAACACACGGCAATCTTTTAGCCAGGCGACGATATATATGTACCAGGTGGCGAAATTGAAATGTCTGTTTTTAAAAATAACATAGCTTTGTTGTTTTTAAAAATAACATAGCTTTGTTGTTGTTGCTTCTTTATTGTTATATTTTATAAAATGTTAGAGGGCATATTTAAGTTTATCTTCAAATCACTCCATTGGAATGTAACCGCCGTTGGCGTTGACAACGCATCCAAGCCCTTTCCGGAATGCCTGGCAAGTTGTACGAATGATATTCTGATCTATTCGGTTCCATTCTCACGTCAAAGAGTTTTTCAGCGCATCCAGTGTTAGCCTGTAAAATGCTCCAAATTCCATAATCCAGAGCATTCAAATCCGGCGATGATAACGGCCACTGTTCGTGCTTAATAAATGAAAAAACGTTTTCTGTAAGCCAATCTTGCGTACCTTTTTTGCGTGGCTTTACGTGAAGGTGCCGAGTCTGCTGAAATGTCCACCGCTCCGAACCAAATTCATTGCGTGTCCATGGTAGCAAGGCACCTTCTAACACTTTCTCCCGGTAGATTTGCTGATTTGTTTTTACCTCGTTCCGGCCCATTGGAAGAAAAAGAAGCCGAGAACGGCCTTTTTCAGTGACTGCGGGCCACATCATAATTTGGTCGGCACCTTGGCGTCGAGTGACTCTTAATTCGTCAGAATGATCACGGGAACGTCCTTTTAAACAAACCCGATCGTTTTGCTTGGTGACGAACTGCTCCACACAAAACGTTTTCTAGTCAGAAAATACTAATTTTCACGATGCAGCGAAACAAAGGTGGCGCCTTCCACGGACCGCTGACGTCACATTATTATTTTTTAGCACTAGTGATGAATATTAAATATTCATATTGTACCTATTTGCCGAAAAGTTGTACCCCAAAGTAGATACGCGTACCTAAACAGTAAACATGTACTCTTATGTTCATATATTTTTGATAGTTGGGGGAATACATCTTCCTTCTGTACCATAACAACTTTTGGACTTACATGAAACAATATTTTACTGCGTTCCAAATGTACCTAAAATTATGTGATTGTACCGAATGTACGTTCAAATTTAAGAAGCTGAAAAGTAGGTGCAATTCATCCTAGTTGTGTATCACTATTTCGCACCACTTGTTCGCTTCTTCCTCTTCTTCTTCAAAATTATTCTTTACAATCTCATTCTCATAATAATGTGACGTCACACCCAGTTGCTCTCAGCTCGATTGGCGCAATCTTGTATTCTATCATTCTTGACTAATTTTGGCAATTCGCCGCAATCGTACAAGCGAATCAGCTCTTTTGATCGCTCCAGTCGTTTTTTCGCTGCAAAGCTGTTAATTCTTGGGACACAGTTTTTTTGAAAGGATGTATTTTGAGCTTGTTTTTAATTATGCGTTGGACGGACCTGCGGCTCAAACCTCGTTATTTCGCAAGCTGATTTACACTGCACTTCATGTTTCGATAAAGTCGTAGACGAACTTTTTCAACGTTATGAGCTGCCGTCGCAGTGCATCGTCGGCCACCTCCGTAGCGTTTCTTAATACTACCACTCTCCTCAAACCGTTTGATGGTACGTTGAACAAATTACTCGTCTAACTGATAATTTGGCAGGGCTCGACGTATTTGAATAATGCTTTTTTCCTCCAAGTGAAGGCCTACAACCAAGTTCCTTTTTACTTCCAGGTCGTCCATCGTCTTTGTTTTTTTTTTTGCTGGCAAGATATTTTCAAGTTTAAAAAAGTGTGTCAAATACATCTGTGTTTAATTTGAACATTGTCAGATTGGAAGTTTTTGCTACATACACTGCAATTGCGCTACTAGGTATAAGTATGTATATAAAATATAAAATAACGGTCAAATGTTAATGTAAACGAATAGTAGAAAGTTCATAGTCTATGCCAGGGGTTCTTGAACTTTTAAGATGATGGAACCCTTACTTACCACATTTCATTGTATGGAACCCCACATCAAATTACTAAAAATCAAAGGCAGAGCAAATTAAATATGTATAAAAACTTTTACTAAAAATAGTATACATACTTTAAATTTTAATGTGAAGAATGAAATTGTTTCACTGTTAGGAATTATTGTATAAAATAGTAGTTCGATATAATGTCTGAAAGCTGTATGCGCATTTCTGGGGTAGCATCCAATTCGACCTGAATCTGTTTTTTGTATAAGTGTAAGCTGAATCCCTTGTTGACAGAGTATGTTGTGACAGAAAGAAGCAAAGTTAAGATGGCCTTTTTAGCGACTTCATGATATTTACTCTTAATACTAACTCAAAACTCTTTCAGAGACACAGATTCAAATGTGTGTTGTTACAATGTCGAAGTACTCTGGAGATGTATGAATGCTTCGTAAATGGATTTTGTACCAAACCGATATTACTACTACCATCCGAAAAATAATCTGACAAAGATTTCAGGTGATTTACCAAATGCCCAGTTATGACATTTCACATTTCATTTGGCAATTCGTCGCGTTCCTTGTAAAAAGTTGTATGTAACCCTTTGGCTACAGCGGCCAACAACAC